GACGGACGGACGGACGGACGGACGGACGGACAGACAGTCACCGCTTAATCGATTTCTCTTTTCATTCTGATCATTTATGTATACATTTGTCTATATCTATCTCGATTCGTTTTGCCTGTTACAAACAACCGTTATGTGAACAAAGTTATAATACCCTTGTGCACAAGAGCACTCGGGTATATAAATTTCCCGCAGTGAATTTTGAAACGGTATAATTTAATTTTTTAAATTTAAATAAAGTATGAAGACCCCATGGAATAAACGAGTAGATAAAAAGTATATAACGGTAAAACTGGAACATACATAAATATATGAAAGAATACACTCAGGCGACGCCTCTAGCCATTGTGTGTCACAGATNTTTTTTTCCCCCCCCCCCCCCCCCCCCCAAAGCCAAATCATGGCTACACCACTGTCTCCGGCTATTAGTGTAAACTGAAATTGCTTGGTATTTAAGGAATGCACTTACATAAGCAGAAGATGCGACCGAGGCTCCTCCGCTAGTACCTCCGGCGTTGCCTTGATGCTTTGGACTACTTTTCGCCTCCTTCAATGATAGTTCAATAGCTTTAGCAATGTCATCCTCCTCTTGTTGACTGCTTACTACGTTTGGATCCTGTAAAGCAGTCAATTTTGTTACTAACTTTGGTGGCTTTTCGTTCAAATTGCTGAAGTCGTAGCCTTCATGACGTAGCTTGTTGTAGAACGAAGGTATTAAATTTAATTCCGGATCACTCTTAAAATCGTTTTCAGCCCAGTTTTTAAGCACTTGACGCATATTCTGCACATACAAAAATTACGTTTAGATAAATATGTTGAAAATGTCCTGTTTTATAGTTACTCACCAATGAAACTTTGGGTTGTGCCTTTGATAACAAACGCCTAAATTCATTTTCGAAATCTCTAGAAGCAATTTCCAAATGAAATGGTTTACCACAATTATTTACACAAGCATCTAAAAGCGTTAAAGCCTGCATGACTACATGTGGATCGGCGTGACCCATACGCTTCATAATCGCCTTCAAACAGTCTTTGGCGCTTCGTGGGTTGGATGAAACCCTATCACATACATCTAATATGAGAGACCAGTCTTCATTTGTATTGGTTTCGCTGGTAGCTTTTTCTGAAAAAGGCATGAGAACATAATAAGAGTCATCAAATCAGTTACAGCATTCGTTAAATGACTCTGTGTTGAATTTAAAACTTCTTTGTATAGCATCGCATATGTATGTTTGTAAGTAAGTTAAGGGGCATTCCAGTGTGACGGCTGGGACATTTTAACTCGTTTTTGCTCAAATTTTAAGTAATTTCTCTTTAACCATTAATTTGACAAGTTTCAAAATGTAACACTTGAAGTCAGATATCAGATTATTACGAAACTAAAGTATAAAACGTAGTTATATTGTTATGCCCTAATTCATAAAAAATAAAATAGCTTTAAAGAGCTTTATAAAGTGACATTTTCTTACAAATTTTCGATTTATGACGCAGCTGAAGTCTTCTTTATTTTTTATGAATTTGGGTGTTAATTTGCACAGAAAATTTACATCTTCCAAGAGTGACGGGTGGGACCACGACGGCACCCGCCTCTCTGAGTTGTTGGATTGGTTCCCAATTTTAGACAAAAATCTATAAATATTTTGTTCATGGGGGCTTTCTCGTATGTAGCTCAAAGAATGTTAAGGTCCATTTTATGCTTTAGTGGCATTATTATATTTGAGAATTAATAAAAAATCTTTTGGCTTGTGACGGGTGGGACAGCATTTTGTGACAGACAGCGTGACAGAAACTCCAACACAAACGCAAATTTTATGGTGTTACTAACACACCTGTAATAATTTTTGATTGGAGCGCCATCTATTGTTTTTTCGTGCGAGCTATCTTTCACATATGAGTCAAGTTAATATTTTCATATATGAGCAAGCAGGCAAACTATTTGGTTTGAAAAATCACACGTACACAAAACTTCTGGGAGCATTTTTGATTCACTATTAAGAATGTGATAGCAAAACGTGCCGAACTTAGCGGGCACGAGTGACGGTTATGTCACTAGGAAAGTGGCCGTCCCTGCTCTTGCTGAGGACGAGTCACTACTGAGGACACTTATGAACTCTACTGGTTTGATATGAATATTTATTATACTTTTAATAAAAGGACGCAAGGGAAGCACTGCGCAACGTCCCATTTTTATATACATATTCACATTTATACTTTAAGTTCTAAAATAACTTCCATATCTATCTACCTAATCTAAAGTCGTTATGCTGTGCTCACAGTATACAGTAATACACATGATACAATAATTTTTAGAAGGTAGTTTCACTTCAAAATTTTTGACATAAACCGTGTCTGTGACAAACACGCAATGTGGCCACTGCTACGATATAGAACTTGGGGATTATCGCTTGTTATTTTAGATATTTTTTAACAGAACATGTAAAGATTTATATGTTTCATAACTGATCACTTAATTTTTAATATAAATACACGTATTTTGTTCATACATTTTTGCCACTGCTAATCACATGAATAAAAATCATAAAAATGAAAATATAACAGCAATATTTCTTGTTTATAATGAATTAGATCCATCGCACACCACGGACTTTATCGGCCGCCAATTTAGATGTGCTCGCTAGTCTTTCCATTGCACCACAACTTATTGGTCAGAGCGATTAAGCTGGTGTAATGTGCGCACCTCCATACATCTTCATGTACATATTTCAAGCGAGCCCTATCATTTAAATAGGCGGCCGATAAAGTCTGTGGTGTGCGGTGGCTCTTATAGCTGTGTCTTTACATCTATTCCGTGTGTTGCAATATCCACGAAAGCAGCAGTTAATTTTTTATGAAGAAAATTATTTCAAAATATTCGAAAATTTCTCTACTTATATGTTTGGCTTTTCTTTGTTTTATTTTTCCAACGTCAAAAGCTGGTTTTTTTTTTTGAAAAGTTGGTACAACAAAAAATACGAAACACGTTTTCTGTCAGATAGCTAACATGGCGGATAAGAAGAAGAAGTGAAACTACCTTCTAAAAATTATTGTATCATGGTAATACAGATAGACAAAAAAAATGTAAATGCGCTTATTTGACAATTTTTTGTAATAAATTGCAAAGAAAAAAGGTAATTAACATTAAAGTCCATTTGATTGAAAAACTGGTTTAAAACGGTCTATAGAAATTATTTGAATTTTATCTTTACCTGAGATTTTAAAGTATTTAGGGAATCCCTCGAGGACTGCATATGGTCCTGAATATTTAAAACCCAAAGATAATCGACCAGTATCAACACTGATCCGGACATGCCCAGTAGATAATTTCAGGAGTTAAAGCCTTTCCGAAAGGCCTTCCTGAGAGTCAAGAGGCCTTTCGGTCTACATTCCTTTCTTTCTTTTTTTTGTATGGGTCGGCACAAATTGCAGGGCTTCTTCTTTCACTACCCATGGAAGGCCTTCCAGAAGGGCTTTTATATGAAGGCCTTTTGGAGGAGTTCTTTTAAAGTTGCTTCTTTAGTTTATAAAAATAATACATCTTTGAATTATTTGCATAAGGTTTATATCAAATATGTGTTATTGCAATTTAAAATGTTTATTAAAATTAATTTGTAATTTGTTTTTGTTATTTATGGCCTTCTAACAATTATGTTCAACAATTTTTATTGAGCTTGAGGCCGTTGTTGATTGTTGAATATAATTGTTATAAGGCCATAAATAACAAAAACAAATAACTTAAGGACGAGCACACCTAAAAGTTAAACATTCTAAAAATAGAATTATTAACAAAAACCAACAAAACCAACAACCATATGATCAAGAGTAAATTGCAGCGGAATAGATGCGCTTGATCGTGTTGGCTGAACAAATGAAAAAGTGGGAAAAAAAGCAACGATAATTTACAAGGCGAACTTAGCACAGTGCGTAGGCAACTGGCTGAATCAGTGGGATCGTCGGTTCGAATCCTACTGAAAGAAGTCTGATGAGGAAATGTGGTGATTTCCGAAATAGCTATCACTTCTACCATTTTTT